AACATTAGGAGGTTCGTCACCTGCATACATCCCACTAGTTTATTTCAAAATTGGCGAGTCACACTTCCCTAGTTTCCCTTGTAAGCTACAGTTTTTCTAAATGACAATTTCAGCCCATTTTTTTGTCAAAATATATAAATTTAAAAACGTTATATATATAAAAGGGGTTGCGTATATTTTTTCGTCAAACTTCTTAGGCGTTAGGGCACATCATCAGGAATAAAACTGCTTAGGAACCCATGTCCGCAAATGTCGTCATACGAAAAAATTTTTAAATTTCAAAATATTTTTAAGCTTTATTTTGGTTCAAAAATATAAATTCTCGAGTTAATTGACACGTTTATTTATTCTACGTACACAAAATATAATCGCAACTGTCAAACGTCAAATTTGTTGTTTTCTCCTCAAAGTGACATTAAAAAAATAAAAAAATAAATAAAAAATTAATAAATAAAAATTAAAAATAAACAGTATTTTAAAAGTTCTAAATTAATTATTTGATAAAAGCTAAATAATGCCCATTTTACAACACTTAGACCTGGTTTCCGTTCACTTTTTAGTAATCATGTATTTAAAAAAATGAGTTTTTTTCCCTTTATTTATGAGATTAATGGCTCTCAATTCCTTTCTCAATTCGCCAGGGAAAAAATTGTTTTCTGCAGTAGACTAATCAATTGAAACAGAAGATTCATTTAAAAACCAACTAATCATTCAAGCTCCAAATCGAAACGTAGAAGATCCCTAATAGACTTTTTAGTTTTGTTTTTCGAAGAAACCCATCTCAGATGGAAGTAGAATTATTGTCTTTAAAAAACTTTCTCAACTTTCTCTTTTCCTTATGGCATGATTTATGGTGAAATTCCGACATAACTTCTTAGATAGTTATGTTAATAGTATCTCCAATCTTCAGATAAAAGTATTATTTAACTGTAAATTCACGCATTCTTGCGTCCTTTCATGTACTTTTCTCTTTTTTATTTCATTTTTTAATTTTGATTTACATTTTCTTTTACTTTATTTTATATCGTATTTAAACTTTATATTCTATTTTATAGTAGAATTGTTTTACTTAATCTAAAATAAAACTATTAACTGAAATATTTTGATTTAAAAAAACTGTTCAAGATATTGCAAGATAAAACAATGCAAGATTATGCATGCAAGATAAATAAAAAGAATGTTTTTATGATCATTATGAGCAAAAGTAAAAAAAATTCCAAATTTAAAAATTTAAAAACTGCAAAATTTAAAAAATTTGCCGTTTTCTAACTCATAAATAAAAAAAAATTTCATCAAAGAGTGGTTTCAAAACGTTATATGAAAACATAAAATTTAATTTAAATTTAATTCAATTTGGCTTATAAAATTTAATTTAAATTCTCATTTAGTTGGAAACATTTTTTACGGTAAATCACCGTTTACTGACATTTTAAGAAACCAACGTAAATCGTCTTACAAATGAAAAGACGTATAATTGAAGATTAAAGAAGATAATAACAATAGCGTAAGAGCACTGTTAATTGGAAATTTAATAGTATCGATATAGAGAACAATAGAGGCAGTAGTAACTAAAACTGAAG